TCGAGTTATTATAGCTCGAGCGATCTACGTCCTTTCTTTTAACGTATACTAGAAGAACGATAACTCCGCTATAGTATTTGTTACCGCTGCGGGGTCTAGAAGTCCGCTTATCCTACGCTTGCTTATTAACAATACGGGCTATAGCAATCTTATACTATAGGGTTAGAAACAATAAATTAATATATTAGGTCTCGCTGTCGTAATTAGGTCGCCTCGATAGGCTATCGGTAGGGTTACTTACGCCTAGCTAGTATAATATATTAAAATCGAACCTAGCGAGGTAGACGGCCTATCTAGCCTATCGACCTATAACCCTAGTAACCTTAGTAATGCTACGGAGGTTGTTATAGTCTGTATAGACCTGTATTGTATATTAAGCCCTATCGAGGTAGTGCCTCTAATACTTAAAGGCCTCGACAATAGCTAGGAGCTCTTACTCGTAGGTCTCGTAGCGACGTTTAGTATTAATTATCTTCCTCGAGAAGAAGGCAATTAGGTGCTAGTAGGTATTATTAGCCTGCTATAATATAATAGCTAATATAGCGAACTGTAAAGCGTTAGTCTTAATTCGGATCTGTTTGCTTAGTACGAAATAGTACAATAAGGGGACTTTAGTAAAGCGTTGTTTTAGACCGTTAAAAGCGGCTTGTGTTTTATTAGTCTATTCGAACTCTCTAGACGGGTTAGCCTTAGTTTTAGTGAGCTTAGTTAGGGGCATTATATGCCGTAAATAGCTCTTAATAAAGCGACGATAGAAATTAGCGAAGCCGAGGAACGACTTTAGTTCCTTAATTAACGTAGGAATAGGCTATTTAGTAATAGTTTTAATCCGATTAGGATTAGCCTTAACACCCTTAGTTAATACGAGGAAGCTAAGGAATAACACCTCTTTAGTAGCAAAGGTGCATTTAGAAGGTTTGCAATATAGTCTATAGGCTCGTAGGCGGTCGAGGACCTTACGTACTACGGCCTAGTATTCTATAATATTAGGCAAATAGGTATAAACTAGGATGTTATCTAGGCAAACTATATAGAGATAGTCTAATAGGCCTAAAAGGGCTCGATTGATGTAGGACTAGAATATTATAGGGGTATTAGCTAGGCTAAATAGTATAACTAAGTATTCGAAATAGCTATAGTAAGTACGGAAGGCTGTTTTCTATTCGTTACCCTTACGAATGCGGATACGACAGTACGTATCCTTAATATCTAGTATAGTATAGTAGTAAGCCCTAGAAAGGCGATCGAGGGTCTTATTAATAAGGGGGAGTAGATAGCGGTCTTTGATAGTAACAGTATTAAGCCCGCGATAGTCGATATATAGGCGTAGGCTACTATCCTTCTTTAGTACGAACAGGATAGGTATACTAGCAGGGCTGTTACTATACCGAATTCGACTATTAGCTAGGTTTTCCTCTAGGTACTTACGTAACATAGCAAGCTCTCGCTTACTAAGGTTGTAGAGGGGACTAAAAGGAACCTCTTTGCCCTCTATAATGTTAATCTTATAATCCGTCTCTTTGAATATAGGCAATGTCGATACTAGGTAGTATTTAAACATATCGATATAGGTCTCTCGGATAGGTTCTAGTATGCGAGCAAGCTAATTAGGATTATTAGGGGGCATAGGTTTATCGTTATTACTACCGAGCAGATCGGCAGTCGGATTAGCTAAGGCGGAGGCTAGTATTAGGTTGCTAATAAACAGGACCCGGATATCGTTAGGGCACTCTCTAACATTAATATGTTTAATATCCTCTTTCCTAGCGATTCTAAATCGCTATTATTAACTGCCTAAGTCTATAACTATAGTATAGTACTTAAGAACAGGGTTGCTAATAACAATATCAGATAGGAGGCTATCTATGTCTACTGCGTAGGTAGTAAAGTTTAGTAGGCGTTTATTTCCGAGGTCGTCTTTTAGAACTATAGGAATATAGTAGGCCCTATAGGTTAAGTACCGAGCGTTATTAAACCAAGCAAGGACTAGTATATTAGTCCTAGGCAATTATCGGAGGTCTAATTGCTTAGCTAAGCGATAGTTAATAAGGGCGCTAACTGAATTTCCGGGGTCTAGTATAACCTTTGCCTTATAGTCAGTATCGGGCCTAGATATAAGACAGGTACGTATAATAGCTAGTACAATGTCGATAGTCTTACGCCGTATAAGGCTAATAGTTAGTACGGCGCTTACTCTTTTTTCGAAGGTTAGCCTATAGGGGTAGTGTTAGCCGCTAAGAGGTACTTTCGGTATTTAGCGGAAGCACGATCAATTCGGGCCTAGTCCTTAGGTTTATCGCATTAGCCTAGTAGATAGCTAGTACTATTACAATTGAAGCACTTCAATCCGGTTAGTAGACTGCTATAGCTTTTGTTGCTATTATTAGCCGAGCGGTTAGTATTATAGGGATACGAGCCCCTTCTACGGCCCCTATCGCGGCCTCCTCTATATAGCCGCTAGCTACGGCCTCTTCTACGATCCTTACTGTTCCTATTATTAGTATTGTTGTCCTAGTAGGAACCTTAGTTTCCTCCGCGGCTACTACGGTTGCTACGGTTAGTACTAGCTAGTCGGATCCTTAATTCTAGTCGTTGCTAAAGCTAAATAGCTCGTATAGCTGTTTCTACTTTAACTATAAATTGAATACGTATTAGATTAGCCTATTCGAATACGCGACAGCGATCTAATTCGAGAATAAGCTCCTACCTAAGCTTAGGGCGTATTTCCGAGATCTATATAGAATTAGTCTTAGGCGGAAGGTCGTCTTTAAGGGTTTTTAAATAGGCCTTAAATAAGCGAGCCGATTAATTAGTCTTCTATTTAGCTCGAAGATATAGGTCCTAAGTATATTGTTGCCTTAGTATAGGGTTTCTAAGGGTATCTAGTATAATAGTTTTATAGGTCTGCTACTAAATAGCGGTCTAGTCGTCGAGGGAGTCGAAATAGTTATCCTATATACGCTTTAGGTCGCTATTAATATACTATATAGCGTATACGACTAAGGAATAGTCGTCTAGTAGCGCTCTTAGTGCGTTACGCTAGTTAAGTTTATAGTTACGAATATAGTCGTTATACTGCTTCCGACTAGAGCTATTAAATATAGTACAGTCCTTAAGTTTAGCATCCTTCTTTTAGATAGGTAGTAAAGAAGGTCCTACTATTAGCTTAGTAGTAGTTGTTAGAGATTCCTAGAGGCGGCGAATCTCGAGAAGATTATCCTTTAGCTATTGTTCTTAACGCAAGGCAGTAAGCCTGTTTTAGGTAGCTTCTTAAAGCCTCGCTACTAGCTAGGGCCCGAAGGCTAGTTAGCTATATCGACGGTTAACAATGTTATTAAGAATGTCGTTAACGGGCAACGACGGGTTATCCCCTTCGATTATAGGTTCTTTAGTAGGCCCTCTAGTAGGCTCTTTAGTAGGCACTTTAGTAGGTGCTTCGGTAGGCACTTTAGTAGGCACTTCGGTAGGCACTATGCTACTAGCGTTATCGTTACTAGCGCTACTAGCGGCAGTACGGTTGTTGTTTCGTAATAAACTAGCTATTATAAGAGGCGATACTAATAATGTATTATTAGCCCCTAAGATACGGATATAGCGGAATTAGTAGATATCGGCCTAGTATACTTAACTTAGTATAATAAGCCGTATAGAAGGCCTTGCTTAATAATTAGTACGGTTGTTTTAATAGAATAGTACGTATAGGTCCCGTTGTTCGAGCGCAATATAGTTAAATCGATAGTTTTCGTAGCTATACCGCTAAAAGCTTGAAATAAGGACTATCTAGCTACTACCCTTAAAGGGTAGATCGAATACTATATAAGAAGGGTATACTAGCAGGTAGATAGGGTAGTAGTAGGTACAAGTAGTATTCGATAAGGAACTAGGAGGAGAGGGAGGAAGGCAGGCAAGTTAGCCTATTGCTAAGTGCTAAGCCCTGCCTAAGGCACTAAGACCCTAGCTTTACTCGGCCTAATTACATACTAGTTACGTATAGCCTCTTTAGCCCTAATAGATAATCTATAGTATTATACTACTATTCTTAATCGTTGTAATATATTAAGCGAGTATAGATATAGCTATACGGCTAGTAATCCCTACGTAGACCTAGATAATATAACGCGAGTCGACATTAATAGCTACGTAGATCTATATCTCCTAATACTCGAATTTATAGTAAGCATCTATTAATATTATATAGCTAGGGCCTAATATAATAATCGCTCTATAGTACTCTCGCGCCCGCTCGCGGCGGACTCGTAACCCTTTAGGATTTAGTAAGCAAGCTATACGATATAGCCGATCTCTACTAATAATATTATATTTAGACCTAATATAGGTATATAGGTGCCGTCGGCCGAAGGACTCTACTATAGACTTCTCGAGCTCTTCCTATAAGACCTCTACTATCTCCTCTTCCGCTTCTATCTATCTATCTCGCGATAATGCCTTCTTTAATCTAAGCTCTTAACGTATCCGTTAATATCTCTGCTAGCTAATATTAAATCTATCTATCTTTAGTACTTTAACCGCTTCTTTATTAGTTAAGCGTAAAGCGGAGAAGGTATATACGACTCGGATCTTTAGTACCTCGATATTATTAACTCGGTTATAGTAAGCGTAATAGCTATAATTAACCCTCTATTCCTTAAGCTTCCGATAAAGTGTAGAAAGAGCTATCTAGTAACTAGTCTCTTATATAAGGTGCTATAGGATTTCGCCTTATATAGTACCGCTATTAACTTATAAGGTTATCTAAGCCCTCTATAGCGAGAGATCGATACGTAGAGGCATTTTGCGAGTTAATAGCGAGTATAGTGCGAGGGCAAACATAGAAAGTTGGTCGTAGAGGTAGGTTAGTGGAGGAGGCGGTGAGAACCTCTATTGACAATCTGGTATGTATGGGCCTCCCTACGATTCACGCTTTGGAATTCTCGTATACTCACTAATCACCAAAGACACCGCTCTGGCCTGTACATCCACGCAACATCGCCCCTCCCTCCTTACTTGGAGCCAGAATTGTCGGCGCAAGACCACACAGACCCGGCATCTGCTTGATACGCTTGAACGATCTTCTGCAAAGCGCCCCATGTGCCCGAAATGGTGCAGAAACAGCCTGCAACAAAGATGAAGCATGCCCACACGGCAGCAGCGTACCATCGCCTGCTACGCTGATTGTGCCTCTCATCATACCACCACATCATTGCATAGGGCTGAAGCACAATCAACGTTCCGAACAGTGCGCCTATCAACGAGACAAGGCTGGAAAACCCAGGAACGGCACTTGCAATCAAGTAGGCGACGAGAACGACGCCGGAGGTGCAGCTGAACCACACGGTCCAATGCTGCCAAGTCTTGGAATTTAAGTGCCTGCTGCCGGCCAGGCAGCGGAGGAATATTGTCTTGGCAGGCACCTGTATGCACACGTTAGTGGCTGGCACATCGCCATCTCGAACTGGAGAATCACTTACGTGACAGACAATCATTGACGTGATCGCAAGCCCGGGCAGTCCAAGGCCGTATGCGACCTTCTTAATGAGATGGCCGGCAGATCCCAAGGCGGGAGATGTGACGTACGAGCCACAGAAGTAGTAGACCATGATTCCGGCAATGGTATAGATGCTGAAGACAACCGACTGGCAGAGATACATGGACTTGAAGTAGTCTTTCTTGACTTTCATCTCCGCGAAGATGGTGAAGAAGTATGGCGTTCCAGTGAAAGAGAAGATGATAGTCGACACAGCTGCCATGGCCTGAGGAAATGATGGGTGACCGAACAACTTGTAGTCTGACGACCATGGGCCAGTCTGGGGTGCAGCAGCTGGGCGCTGCAGAGATACCGCGATGGAGACAGTGAACACTAGCGATGTCAGAACGAAGCCACTTCCGATCTCGTCAATGGATATACTCACGGGATGAAAGGATGAACACCATAGCCACAGGAGCGAACCAGCTGATCTGGGCGATCTTCGGAACAGATGCCAAACAGAAAGCAAGAATGGCGGCCACGGCGATGAAGGCGGCAGTACATGCTCCATGCTCGGACAGCGCGTTCAGGCAAGTCGACACCGACACCAAAGCAGAGCCAGCGGTGAAGATGTAGTCTGTATCAACGTCAGCCAGCTTTCATCGATGCAGAACGTGCTACAATCCATACACAGCATCAAACAGGCCAGTAAGATATACTCCCCGGGAGCACCAAACATTATTTTGCCCGCTTGATCGAGACTGAAGGTCTGATCGTGCTTCAGGCAGAACTTGCCTGCCCTGTGATTCGACCAAGTCGCCATACTCGCCACGATGAACAGGACGAAGACACCCGGTACGAGACCCAAGATCTCAAAGGCGCCTGGTATCGAGAGAGCACCAATGCCTACTTGGGTCTTCATCATGAGAAACGCGGCAAACTTCCAGCCAGTCTACATCACAGACATCATCAGCATGGACTCACTCGAATCTCGGCAAAGAGCTACCGCATCAAAAGATAATAAGTCTGGCAAGAAAGAGAGGACATACATTGTTATAGTTGATCTCGCCCTCTCCGAATATGGGGTCTGCTGTGGCCTTGGTAGATTCAGTCGCGTTAGACCGCTGAGCCTCGAGAGCAACCATATCTACAGCAACATCGATGGGTTGCTGGGAGCCCTTCGAAGAAGCGTCGTCAGAAGCCATGTTGCCGATTGCGGATGTCGTTTGGTAAGGTATTCCAAACGGTGTTCCGGTAACATAGAGGAATGGCGTGATTGATGCTTGTGGCAGTTGTCTGGACAGTAATTCAGTATGAGGTAAAGTAATGATTGTAGGGACAAGTGGGAAGCACGGTGATTTTTGAACGTGTTAGTCCTCAGCAAGCCGACACTTTCTGCGTGTCTTGGCTAGTGCATGATTTCACATTCGCACAACCAGGTACCAACTTCCTTGAACTCTGTGGTCAGCGGTATCTTTGCTTCGGGAGGAAGACCTGGTACCGCCGAGTATGAGAAGTCAGAGCTACCGGATCTGACGCCAATTTTATTTCTCACGACCTTCAAGCCTTGGCATTGCAATCATCACCCGGCCCATTTTTGAATGCGGGATGGCTTCAAGTCCGGACCGCGATACCGCGCAGACATATTGAGAAGCCATGCAATCATCGTATGCTCAAAATTCTGCTGGCTGGCATCAGCGTCTCCAGAGGCGCAATTCTGGCTGACGAACCTTCCTTCCTCCGCAACGATGTGTCAAAGACACCAGCTGGCGTGCGGAGAGAATTGGTCCAGTATCCGCGACCTTCCCATCTGGCGTATGGAGTGCGAAGCAATGCAGCATGACATAAGGATGGTCTTCCGGGACGAAGGTGTCTTGTGGTTGCAGTGGATCCCGTAGTGAGGACGTCTCCGGCAAGCAAAATGGTCGGGCACTTTTCGAGCCACGAATTGCTTTATCAGGTAAACCTTACAGACAACGATATCGAGGAATGAGGATGCTGCCATGTTGCAAAGCGTCTGGTCTTTCTGTTCTCAGATACATGTAGGCTGACCTGCTCATCCTACCAACTTGAGCTTGGACATCTGCTCTATCACGATCTTCAGATCCATAGCCAACAAGTCCTTCTCGTTGACCACTTCCTTGGGCTCGACTTCCATCTCGTCTGCCACGTCGGTACCAGCAGCACCGATTCGTTCACTTCCCGAACCCTTCAGGTTCATTTTGCCCAGCTCTTCCAGCATGTTGTCCAGCTTGGCGTCCTTCTGGGTCTGAATCTCCATGATCTTCCCTGTTTCAACGTTCACCTGTTTCGCAGGGTACTCTCTGCTCTTCGCATTGCCCGAGATCTCGCTGGTTGCTCTTGCCTCAGCAGCACGGTCATGTGTCAAGGTTGGCTGAACTTGGCGCATTGCCCATCTCTTAGCCAAAGCTCGCATTTTTGCATCTAGTGGATCAGCTCGACCACCTGCTTCCATGTCCTCGAAGTCTCTCTTTCTGCCCAACAATTTGCTGGTGTTCATGAGTCCAGAGAACGGGCTGTTTTCCTTGGCAATTTTGACGTCGCGTCTAGCAGCTTTGATACAGCCTTTCCATGCCTGTACCTTGTTGCCGTTGTGCGTATCAATCCAGTCAATAGCCTTAGCGATATGTCTCACTATGGCTTGGCGAGTGATTCTTTCAGAACGCGTTTGCGCCATCAGTGAGAGATCTTTAGGCCGCAAAATGTCTCGGAGCATATCATATTGACGTTTTCTTCCTCGCGCCAAGAGGGATGGGGAGTGATATCTCAGCTCACGCTGATATGTGAGCCTGAAGTGGTGGCCATCGATTTCAGCATGGCCAAGCCGAGCGAGACTCGAAGGTCTGCAGCTTTGATACCACTGTCGAAGATTGCGCTCGGCGCCTTCTTGCCAGTAGTAGTCGTCACAAAGCTCGATTACAACATGCGCAGGGCGCCATTTCTTGATGACCTGAATGACTGTCTTGAAGTTGAATGCACGGACTAAGAAGTGCATTCGTTGAGCTTGGAAGTTGCGGCGATGAAAGAACTGGGAAACATCAGCGTCGCGCCTCGATATGCAACAAAGTATTTCTCGAGCGTACCTCGAGATACTCCTTTCTGAGTTGCTGGCAAATGCTGAACATAGGATGAATGTGCCGACTTTTCGCCCTCGAAAGCTGGGCGAGCTCGTCAACAACTTGAGACCCGATCGACACACCCTCGTACATGGCTGGCGCGGGAGAGTCGTTGGTGTATGGGCTGGCATCATGAGGATAGCGAACTCGACGTGATTGCAGTTTCTCGGGAACGCAACTTATTTCGTGCGGAATGTAGGAGTAGACTTGCGATAAGTGTCAGCCAATTCGATGCCTTCGAGTCTGCCTTCAGGCTACTTACTGAGATCCCGTATCTCTCGAGGCAGACCAAGGAGGCTCGCACGTCGAGGTGCGACGCGATGTATACCAATTGAGCCCGTAGCGATTTGCGCGACAGTGCGATGACAGCGTTCCGAGAAAGAGGCGGCTCGCAGCTGGCGATGTGAAGGCACATCTCCATCATACTTGCGCTTAGGCATGTTGGCGGTGTGGAGGGAAAAGAACGCTTGCAAGCATGGGATTCCTGAACGAGATCGTGCGTTTGGAAGTCGCAAGTCTGTGTTCGGATAAGCTATGCATGTGAAAGGCTTTAGCGTGTCATGGGCGCGTTTGAAGGCTGCTTGCACCCGCGCTCCGCCCCACTGATGTTGAACAAGATGGTTCGACGAGCAGGAAATTGCTATCACAGATGAAGGAAAGAGACTCAGTGAGATCTGGTAGCATTATATAGGCTTTTCGAAGTCTACATACCTCCCTACAGCCGGGGACCTGGGTATATGCCGAGCCATCTACATAGGGCGCCGTCGCTATGCATTATTTTCGCCTGCGTGATGACAATTCAGTTAGAAGTCGTTATCGTCGCTGCCAGCAATGATGACATTGTTGACCTTGAGGACCATTCGACACAGCTGGGTAGCAAGCAGGAGTTGTTGGCGTTTCGAGATGAGCGGGTCGATAACGAAGTGCTCCTTCATGTCTGCATTGTGAGTTAGCATTGGGGTCTCAAACAGGACCATGTTCGACTTACCATTCGATCCGGTCTGCATGCAGTCAACGCCCAATCTCCCTCTGCCCTCGCCCTTGCCTTGCCGCGCTTTCAGTTCTGACAATGTCTCAATCGGACTCAAACCACTATTCTCTGCCAGCGCCATAGGTACAGCATCAAGCGCGTCAGCGAATGCGCGCATACTGTATTGCTCCAAGCCAGGAGTCTGAAGAGCTTCCTTCTCGACTGCAAGCGAACATGCGATTTCTGCTGCACCGCCTCCATACACAATGCGGTTGTCCTTGACAAGATTCCGAACAACGCAGAGAGCGTCGTGTAATGACCGCTTCGCTTCATCGATGATCATCTTGTTGCTGCCACGAATGAAGGCCGTGACAGCTCTTGAGTTGGCGCATTCCTCGATAACCAGCATCTTTTCTCTCGTCGTACCGAAGGACATCTCACGCACAATTCCGGCCTTCCCCAGCTTTTGTGCGCTAAGATCCTCAAATCGTGGTACAATGCGTCCATTGGTGGCGATAGCGATCAATTCGATCTCCGGACCACCAACCCACCGCACAGCCGGGAGCTCGTTCGTGAGAAGAAGATGGTTTGCTTCGTCGTCAAAGCCCCACTGGCAGATGACCACGTTCGCGCCGGTGTCTTTGATCTGCTGGATCATTTCGGCAAATTTGGCCTGCTCGTACTTTTGCAACTCCTTGAACTCGGCGACACTAGTAATGTCGAGCTTATGCTTGGTCTTTGGCTTGGGTGGCTCGAATGCGCAGGTCAGAATAGCCAACTTGGCGTCTCGTACTTCCGAGGGCATCTGTGGATGGGAGAAGTCCTTGTCGACAATCACACCCTTAACAAGGACAGAGTCCTCCAGTGAACCGCCGACCTTGCCATCCACCTTGATGAGCTCAAAGTCCACATCTCTACGCTCCAAATCTGCGACGGAGAGCACAGCATCGACAGCCATCTGCGAGAACTGGTCGTGTGCTTTGGAGACAATCTTGCTACCCAGCGAGGTCTTGGCGCACTTGAGCAAGTTGCTAGTGTCCTGGTTGGTGAAAGGCATGACATCTGATATGCGGTCCAGTTCGTCGACGGCCAGCTCGCAAGCAGCATCATAGCCATCTGCTATCCTAATGGGGTGGATTCCCTTGTCGATCAATTCTGCAGCCTGTTCGAGCAAGGCTCCTGCCAACACCACCACACCAGTTGTGCCGTCTCCAATCTCGGCATCTTGTGATTGCGAAAGTGATACAAGCAGCTTCGCGATGTGGTCCTTGATCTCCATCTGACCAAGAATGGTTGCGCCATCGTTGGTGACTGTGATGTCGCCGTCGGGTGAAATGAGGATTTTGTCCAAGCCGCGGGGGCCCAAAGAGGTCTTGACGATGGATGATACGGTGCGTGCGGCGAGGATATGCTGCTTGACAGCGTCGGTGCCATGCGTTCGCTTCTTCTTGCCTTGGTCTCTGACGATGATGAAAGGCCTGCCGGACTCGTCTTGTGTGATCTGGGCTAGAATCCGTCAGTCTCTGGGCTCCCTGGGGGCTCACTTCGATTGTGCGCATACCGTTGCTCAGATCGAGCTCTGTACACGCCGTCAGTTCCTGCCTCACTTGATGATTTCTTTTCATATGAAAGACTTACGCATGCCTTGTCCGGCCATGTTTGCTCCTGCTGCGGACAGCAACAAACAACACGCAACTTTTATTCGGCAACTTTCCTCAGATCTTTCCTCTCCAACACCACGAACAGCACAAGTTCGTGCGACTATTCGGCCAAATGCCTCCACGCAAAGGGTGGAAGAAGCGACTGGCAAGAAAGATCAAGGAAGATGTCAGCAGGTGCGTATGGTCAACTGCTACTCCGTACAATGATGCTACGATTCAGTAGTAGGGTCAAGGTTCTTTCTTTGGCGATCGCGTCTCTGGCTCGGCTGTTGCCGCTCGACGCGCCTGCCGATTGCCGTCTCCAGCCACGCCAGCTTGCACTCCTGCTTCTGCTCCTGCTCCTGCCTTCCACTGCACCCTTAGGACTTCACGTCGCGTCGCATCGCATTGCATTACCGATCGCGGTCGCATAGACTGTCTATTGATACTGACGCAGTCGCGTGTGCAGTGCGCGCAGCCCTCAGGTGCAATTGAAGTGGCGCAGTGCTCTGCGCGACACGCCCACACCTGTACGCGGTCGAGGTCGACGAGACGAAATGCCCCCGGCAGGTACGCCTATCATCCTTATGGAAAGCTTTGCAGTGAACTAGCTGACAGCGCTCCTAGCGAGCGAGAGCGGGTCTGATGACCTCGATGCTATCCCCGCCAAGGCCATAGCCTCCAAGGATGATCCCATGCAGGATGGAGAGGATGGAGAGGATGAGGAGGAAGAGGGTGAATACCAGGTGGAGAAAATTGTAGAACACAACTTTGTCAAAGGCAAGGTAATCTACAAGGTCAAGTGGCTTGGTTGGGATGCGGAGGATGACCAGACTTGGGAACCCGTTGAGAATCTGTATGTGCTATGCTGTCGTGACGTGGAGGCATTGGCTGACTTTGCAACAGTGAGGGCGCGAAAGAGTTCCTTAGTGCATATCATCGAGCCATCGGCGGAACACCAGAACCACCCGCAAAGGGTAAGAAGCCAACCAAGGCATCTCTCGGCAAACGGAATTCCACCCAAGCAGATCTCGACTCGCCCGCACCATCCAGCAGCAAGAAAGGCCGAGGACGAAAGTCTGATGCCAACGGTACTTCTGCAGTAGACACTTTCCCTGTTGGCAGCTGGGAGGAGCATGTCTCCGCGGTTGCGGCCATTGTCGAAAGCGAAGAAGTCGGCCTCACCAAGGGAAAGAAGGACGTCCAATCTCTAGAAGGTCTTCTCGAGTGGAACGACGGGCGTAAGACGCAACACAAGATGGCTCTCCTTCGACAAAAATGTCCGCAACGATTACTGGATTACTACGAATCTCACCTGTAAGTTGTCCCTTGCCCTGCGTGGACGACATCCTGCGCGACTGAATCCAAGCTTAGACTTTTCCTAGATTGAAGCCCAAGATGGAGGAAGCGTTTGTGGCTGAGGATTATGACTGATTCCTTCTCCGCAGTGTCTTCCAGGGCGATCCGAGGTATGTGTCGTAATCGGCATGGAAAGGTATGCTTACATCGCGAGTCTCTTCAACGACTTGCTCGCAAATCCTTCATGTGTTGCAAACGATTGACTCCAATACCAGATCCGCGTGAGGGCATGCAAGTCCAGTGCAAATTCCTTGCAAATATCAGGACACCTCTGGCTAAAAGAAAGCGGCCTGCAAGATGGTCAGTAGGAGGCGTGACTGGAGTTTACAAATTCACATTCGAACGCGATTAGTACTTGTCTCTTTTTGCTCAGGATAAGTAGGGCACGAAATGTATTTTGACACTGCTGAGCCCGTTACAGGCCGTTTGCGCGTCTCTGCTGTTACCTTGCTGCAATCTTCGTTCGATAACTTTGCAGGGCATCCTTGGACTTCAAACTCAAATCAACTCACTGAACAATCCTGACGCTCAAGTGTCCGCATCCGTAGCCAGGTTGCGTTTCTCGCGGCAGCGTAGCGTTGCTGCGTCGAGCGTGTCAGTACTGCAGGAACAGCTTTCGACGAATGAACTGCGCCGTGGCGTATGACTACTGTCCGGAACTCGGCACGGGGTTTCTCTTCGCACGAGGTCACGTTGAAGCGGCTCTATGCAAGAACAGCCAACGAATCACTGGTGCCAGAGAAGAACTTTCGGTGTGCCTCACCTGTTACTTCCTGCTCTTCGTCACACTTCACTGGCACGCAGAGTCTGCACGTCAATATTCTCTTGGCGCGCATACGTCCGAAGCCGATATCGCTAATCGCTACTCCAGCCCACGAGGCGCCGATCTCAAGTAACCCAGAGCCCGGTGGTCTTACACTGTGACTCCCACCTTGCGACTGCATGGATACAGGCCGAGAACATGGCGGGCACAACAGAACTGATACTGGAGACACTGTCGACAGTGCTGCAACCACACTCCTAGGCAGCCCACACCCAAACAGTGATCGCAAGTACGCCAGTATAGACCAGGAAGTACGCAAGAGGCGGAAGAGTATAGACAACCACGACGATCGCGGGAATGAAGAAGATACAGCGGACGAGGAAGAGCGTTTGCTGGCTCAAGACACTGCTCACCTGAATCATGAAACACGAATCGCAGACACAGCCCGCGAAGCAGTCGACGATGGAGAGCCTCCACCGGGACCACCCACCAAGCAAGAGAAGCGGAAGGCCGTGGCATGGAAAGACTTGCCAAAGAAAGGGCAGCTTGCAATTCTAACGCTTGCAAGACTAAGCGAGCCTCTCACTCAGACGAGCCTACAGAGCTACATGTTTTACCAGCTGAAGTCATTCAAGACGGCCGATGGCTCGACGCCTTCCGATAGTAAAGTATCGCAGCAAGCGGGTCTGCTCGCCGCTGCTTTCACTGGAGCTCAATTCTGTACTGCTATCCTGTGGGGTCGGCTAGCTGATAGTGAAAAGTTGGGTAGAAAGAGGGTGATTTTGGTCGGATTGCTTGGAACTGCGATTGGAGCCCTTGGGTTTGGCTTCAGTCAGTCCTTTGCGGTAGCCATGTTCTGGCGCGCTGTCGGCGGCATACTGAATGGAAACATTGGTGTCATGCGAACGATGATTTCAGAAATTGTCAAGGAAAAAAAGTACCAAGGTCGGGCGTTTCTTCTGCTCCCCATGACGTTCAACATTGGGGTGATCATTGGACCGCTTCTTGGAGGAGTTCTTGCTGATCCTGCTGGATCCTATCCCAAACTCTTCGGACCTGGGAGCACATTCGGCGGGGAGCACGGAGTTCCACTGTTCATGCGCTTCCCGTATGCGTTACCGAATATCGTCAATGCAACATTCCTCCTTGCGAGCGCTCTAGCCCTTGTACTAGGCCTGGAAGAAACGCTCGATACGTTGAAAGGCAAGAAGGATTACGGACTAAGACTGGGCAAGCTCATTGCAAGGGTCGTCTTCCGGCGACGATCGAATCAGGACTACACACCTCTCCAAGACTCGGAGCATTCACAGGACATTGAGCGCCGATCTGCGTCCATGTCGAAACCGAAGCCTAGACAAAAGCTGCCTTTCCGTCGCATCTGGACCCGCAATGTTCTCCTTACATTTCTTTCACACGGTCTCCTCGCGATGCATGTTGGGACGTTCAACAATCTCTGGTTTGTGTTCCTCTCCACGCCTCGGTATTCGCCCGATTCCAATGGCTCCAATAACCTGCCTCTTCCAGAAGGCTATAAGCCACATCCTCCTTTCACCTTCACTGGGGGTCTCGCCCTGCCGCCGCCGGCGATTGGTATGGCTCTCGCCATTCTAGGAGTTCTCGGCATCTCACTGCAACTGCTCATCTATCCTCGCGTCCAATTCCGTCTCGGCACCATCACGGCTTACCGACTGTCGCTTCTGCTGTTTCCCATATGTTACTTCCTGGCCCCATTCCTTGCGGTCATCCCTAGTACACTGCCAGCCCCTCATCAAGCTGCTGGTGCGGCGATTTGGATCGCAATCACATTCGTACTGGTATTCCAAGTCACGGCTCGCACTTTCGCCTTACCTAGTGCAGCTATCCTAGTCAACAACTGCTGTCCGCATCCTAGTGTTTTAGCGAGCATTCATGGAATCGGACAGTCTGTCTCATCGTTGACGAGAACGATCGGTCCAGTGATGGCTGGCTGGGCGTATGGGTCAGGATTGAATGCAGGGGTTGTCGGGCTCGCCTGGTGGGTAATGTGCGGTATTTCGATTGTCGGCGCTGTCGCTGGCACTTGGGTGAAGGAGGGTGATGGCCATGAAATTTGGTTGGAAGGCGAAAAGGAAGAAGAGGACAGTAGCAAGGGATAGACTGAGGTGAATAAGAAGTAGAATTGATAGAACCAGATTTTGCTGTGAAACCTCTTGCAGAGCCTTTTGTTTAATTGGCTGAGTGCTTTGGAATGAAGTGACAGGATTCATCAAGTGATTCAGATCGCTGCCTATGAGAAGCTCGATAGCAGGATCAAGTTAGCACGAATTGAATACTGTGTGGGTATCATAATGTAAAAAGCCAGTCTAAGCCGGAATGTCGTCCATCTGTCGCCAATGCCGCTGCGTGCTCAATGCCGCTCGATCATGTCCTCCACCATCTTCAAGAATCTTGTCCGATATTCTGGACTGTCGGTCGTTACAGACATGGGACCTTGCCCGTCAACGGCGTTGTATGTGTTGATCAGCCCAGTCATAGCCTTTGCGTGCACCTTATGCTTCGCCCAGAAGAAATCCAATACCGCAGCTCGATACACCCACTTCCCGTCAGCAGATTTGACTCCCGTCCGCCAGCTCGGTGGGGCAGGAGGAACAAGAGGTGTCTTGCTCTTGGCAGGAAGTTCCTCCTGACCAGGAGCATCGGACACAGGTATGCGGACAAGCATGAGGGAGTAGTCTACAGCATTGCAGTCGGCCAGTAGTTTGGTGTCCTTCTCGAGCTGCCCTTTCAGATCTTCGGCCTCGTCTAGAGTCAAGACGATTTTCTCGTTATAGTCGTCAGCAAGTTTGCTTTTTGTAGCTTCACTAGTCAGTACCCCTCCTGCGACATCTCGTTCTGGGTAGAAGTATGATTGGGGTTTGAGGTCGTAGTCTTCCCAACTGTCTTCTTTCCCATACAGCAGGTTCTCCATGACAATGTGGTGGCTCGGAGCTAGGCCACAGATTGTGCCGATTGAGACTTGGCAACACTCGAGCAAGTCAGTGATGCGCGTAAGAAGAGAGCTTGGGTTGTTTTGCATGTATTCGGCATATGGGAGCAGAAGGTCATTCTTGAAGAAAGAATGCTCGAAGTGGCGAGGGATCGACTTGACAATATAGGAGCTGTCAGATGTTGTGAAGAAGGTCGAACCGCTGTAGCCCATATCTCCTATGGCAATACAATATCAGCACAGATTCCACGCGGTTCAACATATAGGCTTGCTCCTTACCCATTGGCTTCAGGTCGCGTTTCTTCTTGTCATCTTTGCCGAAGCTCCTCTTGTACTCGTCGTCGTTGATCTGCCATATGCCACGAAGTGCCTTGAAAAGGTCCTCGCGGACACACCGGAACGCGAGCCAGTAGACCCAGAAGAAATTGGGGATTCGCGCGAGGACACGGGGACGGTTGACGTCGCTGTGGATGATTGAGTGCGTGACTGAGCGCGCGACTACTTCCTGTCTGCGAGCCATGGTGGCCGTGATGGCAGAGGTAGACAGTCATGTTGCTGCCGTTGCGACTGCTGAGGTACGAGAAGTCGAAGGCTGACATCATTTGCACGTTGCCCTGAGCTTGAATCTTTCATGTGATCCTCCAACTTCGCATTACCTCATCGGGCCCATCCTCCAAATCTACATTGTGACAACGACAGTCGCAGGGCATCAATATGCCAAAGGAGAAATCACTCAACCCCGTTGCGGCTCAGCGCAAAGCCGACAAGAAGAAGGAAATCAACAAATCCAAGCGGAATGTGCAGGATCAGCGCAATGAAAAGCTCGCGCGGCGAAATCCCGAACGTCTTCAAAAGCAGATTGATGAACTGAAGGAAGTGGAAACGCGCGGTGTATTGCGACCAAAGGACAAGGAGACACTTGCGCAGCTCGAACGAGATGTGAAGGGCATTAGGCGCGCACGAGAGGCTCTTGGTGATAGAGCACCGCAATTCCGCAGCCAAGAGCGCAGAGAACGAAACGATGCACGGCAAGAGCAGCGAGAGCGAAGGCACAATTTAGGCAAAAGACGGCGAGACTCAGAACATGCGCACGACAGCGGCAGCGACACAGATCCCGAAGTGAGGCATATTCCGATGCCCAGAGACACGCCTCCACCCATCCCTCGAGAAAAGTGTACAGATCCACGACTTGGGCCAGATGGACAGCGAGTGCCGCACGCGTTGCCCTCCAAACCTGCTCCTACTCCTGCTGCACCGCCGCAGCTCGTTTACAGCAGTGCACCGCAACTACGCGATCTGAAAAAGGAGGCTGTCAAATTTGTGCCTGCTGCAGTACGGGCTAAGCAGAAACAGGTCAAGGGAGAAGGGCGGTTGCTGGAGCCCGAAGAGATGGACAATTTGGAGAAAGCGGGCTACTACGCTGCGAATAAAGCCGCACAGGCAGCTGGCGAAGAGGTCCACTACAGAGAAGCTCAAAACGCGGAGAAGGCAGTCGCTGGCGATGATGGGGACATGGACGAAGTTAGCAAACTCCAGCAGGAATTGACCTCCATCTTTCCCGAAGAAGAGGAATCTGTTCCAAGGAGGCAAGTCATGGTCGAAGACGTTGATGGCGAGGATGATTGATGGAGGAAGGGATCGATCCTTGAGTGTGCGACGTCCGCTGGCGCTATGAGGAGACATGGAGCAGAGAGATTCCAGTCTGCCTACAAGAATCAAAATTCCACTGCCAGTCTGATGCTGCAGGACTCCAAAATCTCCTCGTGCGAGCCTTCCACGTGAGACGGTGCTTGTGAGCACACTAAAGGTAGTCTATGCGGCCAAGGAAGGTCCCTATTAATGGCTCCTATGAAGGCGTATTGTCGTCTTGTTCTCGAACGAATCTTGAAGGGCCAAAGTGGCTGCACCGCATTCATCTGCCTCAAAGTGCCGAGTTGCAGAGACGGAGGCCGTTGACCAATCACGCCACGTTTGCAGGGGTGCGGGTTGCTAGCGCGGCGCGTATTCCTGGCACTTTACTCGTTCATCCACCGCTCTCGCTCTTCCTCTTCCTCTTTTCATCCCTCCGCAGCGTCAAAAGCATTGTAATTTGTCGACCTGCCCTGCTCGTTCGCGGTGCTATCGGAGAGAAGCGTAGACGGCGCAAAGCAACACCGGTACCGACGTGCGCTCTTGGGCTGCCCCAGCACCTTCATTCGTCGCCCATCTGCCACGCCGCGTGTGTTATGTACGCTCACACGCTTCTTGGAGCAAGACGAGTTCCGAGGCACGCGCAGAAAGAATCACCTGCTATTCCCAGAACTGACTCGCAAAAGAGGAGAGAGTGACCAAGTCTTCTCTGCTGTTGGCCACGACTTCTTCAGCGGTGCATCGAGCGAGCAAGGGAAGCGGCGTGGTGTGACAACCAGCACCAATAGTGCTCAGCCTTACATCCGCGCCTATGTATCTGTGGCGCTGTTGCTCGGGACATGCCATGCTGCGTGCCTTGGAGACATGCTGTACAGTATGAGCAAGAAGCCTTCCTGTTTGGGCCAGCATCCAATCTCACTGTTGCCACAAGCGCTCATTGATCTGCCTTTGATGCGCCCATTATGGATCCAGGATACAACGAGCTTCTGCCGTTCTACATCACAAATGCTAAATCGCACTATTGCGCCTGCATCACCGCCAGAGCGGAGAATCTTTCGCAATCGGTGTGGGTCTTGATCCGCAGCATGCCCTTGCAGACAGCGCACTCCGTCCCGCAGCGCAAGCGGGAGCACTGCAGGGATCCATGCACTTGTATCTCACGCTTGTTGCCGGGTCTCGATGGTCTGTTGCTCGAATCACACTTGCTCGTACACCACTCGAACCCTCAGGAGTCTTGACTTCTCCTTATCTCCTTGCTTCTGCTAACATCTATCGACAACGGCTGGACATTGACAGAATGATCATCATGAACCCCGAATGTTGAATCTGCGCAGCCTTGGACAGTAATGAGCACCACTTTATGTCGTACTAAGCGGGCTGGCCTCCGAAACATCGAATGGTAACACGCTCCATCCTCATCAGCATCGATACGACTCGTGCAACCTACGTTCTTCTGTGTAATCGACCCTCGAGCACAAAGAATTGTGCGCATTGAAACGTCAGTCATCAATTTCCGCATGATCGATTCGACGACCTCAAGATGCCATCGTTAGCAGACTTGTTGGCCAAGCGAGCTGGCCTGGTTGTAGCATCCACTCGAGACGTAGCTTCAGATGTTTCTGAAACTATGTCCAAACTGGAGAAGCGCATAAACATACCGTACAACAGCAGCAGCCCACCTGGACTGATCGAAGCAGAGACTGTTGATCCCTGGAGCCAATCCGGCAAATATGCGTTGGGATGGGTTTATTTCAGCATTATACTGTTGGTTTCGACCATGGTCATTTTTTGGTACCACTACTGGAACGACAAAATCAGAGTGGCTTCACACAAGGAGATTCAGGAAGAATTTGCAAAGACAGCTTCTCCAGCGACAGATTACGAACACTCCGCCCTCAGCACTGATCGATCTACAAAAAGGTTCTTCCCACAAGAGGCGCCACTTCCACAAGCAACAAATGCGGGCCTCCAATCTGCTCGGCTGCCATGGGCAGTGAGGAAGATCCTTGCTCTGTCTCGATATATTTTCTATCATCCCATACCGAATGTGCGAATACATAGAAAGATGAGACCGATCGTCTTTCCCTCAATAGGAGTCCTGGTCATCGTTTTTGCAGCTCTGGCATTCACAATTCTATATTGCTTCGTACCGCAACCACTGTTCTGGCAATCAATTCAATATGGATCTCCGCCACTAGCCATTCGCTCTGGAATGATTGCCGTTGCATTGATGCCCTGGATTATAGCTCTCAGCTCAAAGGTCAATTTTATCTCCATCTTGACCGGGATCGGACACGAGCGACTGAACGTGTTGCATCGATGGCTTGCCTATATATGCTTGATCCTAAGCATCATACACACTGTTCCATTCTACGTCACGCCTGTATATGACAATGGAGGACTGCAAGTGTTTCAAAGATTGTTAAAGATGCAGCAGTCCGGAGTGTACATTTATGGCACTGGTATGTTTTGTGAATTGGTGGGAGTCGATCGATTGCTGACCGCGCTTGACAGGTATTGCGGCATTGGTGCCTTTGATATTCCTCTGCGTACATTCTTCAACGCCGCTTCGACGAATGTTCTATGAGCTGTTCGTCATGGTACATGTGCCCGTCGCTATCGTCTTCATAGGCATGCTATTTTGGCATTGCCACAACTACCTCACGTCCTGGCACTACCTCTGGTCTACGGTGGCCCTTTGGCTGGCGTCCTATTGTGGCAGACTATTCTACCTAAACTGGACACGCCCGAGCAGGGTATCGTGGGGGATAGGTGAGGAAGCTGCAGTGACTGTGCTCGAGGAGAATGCTGTCAAGGTGACCATTCCTACGCAGATGAGGTGGAAGCCGGGACAGTATGTTTATCTGCGTATGCCTGGCATTTCGCTTGTGGAAAACCACCCTTTCACCATTGCATCTCTATGCAGCGACGACTATCCATCAGAATATGGCGACCAGTACCGCGACATGGTTCTAGTCTTCCGACCGTTCAGTGGATTCACCAAGAAAGTCCTAAACAGCGCGCTCGATCACGGACCGTGGTGGACATATCATGCTTTCATCGACGGTCCATATGGAGGTATGCGACGTCAGCTGGACTCATTCGAGCACGTTGTGTTGGTGGCCGGTGGCACTGGCATAACTGCGATCGTGTCCCACCTGCTGGACCTCATCAAGCGCATGAGAGACGGCAAAGCTGTCACCAAGACTGTGAATCTTATCTGGGCTTTGAAAAGGCCAGAGACGATGGAATGGTTCAAGGAAGAGCTTCGGATCTGTCGCGAATTCGCACCGCCTGATACTGTCAGTTGCCAGTTTTATATCACTGCAGCCAAACGACAAGCACATACGGGTAAGCTCGTGAGTGCACAAACGCCGAATCGTCCTGTCAGCATGGTACTGCATGACAAAGTCAACGACGTCTTTCAGAACATTGCGAGTAACCGCTTTTCGATCAGCTCAAATCGCCACTCGTTCAATTCGTACAGGAATTCGGCCATGATCAAAGAGGAAGCTGGCGGCGATCCAGAGCGAGAGAAGCAGCTTCGCGAAGAGAACGAAGACCGAATACGGCCTCTTCCGCAAGCTCAACTCAAGCCCATGCGTAGTCCATCCAATGCTCACCTCACACCTCCAGGCGAGCTGCAGAGACGAACCGACAGTCGTTCTCCAGCACGAAGTTCGACAAACACAGACATCGAGAGTTCCAAGGACCCTCCCCACATGCCACCTCATCCGACTCTGCATGAAAAACGAAGAACTCGTTCCCTGTCCGTGGACATATCATCTGCTCAATCCGCGCAAGCAACTCAAATGCAACAGTACACTGAATCCAACGACAAATCAAACTTCGACTTTGGATTCCCTTCCACGCCGACCGAGTTTCAAAAGAACCTCATGCGATTCGCTTTCATGCCAGCAGCAGTCAAATCACGACGCAGCGGATGGAGCGTGGAATGGGGACGGCCTGAAATTCCTTACATGCTGAGGGAAATGAGTCGAGAATGGTCGGGCCGCAAAGCCTGTGTGTTTGTATGTGGACCGCCGAGCATGAGGTGCGATGTCTCCAACTCGGTAGCCGAGATGCAGAAAGGCATTCTCTCCGGAACCAAAGAGCTGGACGAGATCTACTTGCATACAGAGAACTACGCGTTGTGAGGTTGCGCCAAAGGACTGTGAGTTTTCAACTTGTACGATATAGCTTCTGAGATACCCCTTCGTTCATTTATGGAATGACACTTCGAATGAATTAAGAAATTTCAACAAAAACGACTGGCTATTTATTTCTCGGTCATTTAACTATCGTGCACATCACATTATGGGGCAACGCAACACAAAATAACAAGGGTATCTCGTCAACTCTCTAAGACATGATTCTTTTCCTATTCCATTCACGAGCCGTTCTGTGGTCCGGCTAGAGTCTGGGAAGGAGTGTAGAGGGAGTGAACCCCGTTGGCGCCACCGTTGACCCCATTGACTCCGTTTGTAAGTGGAGCGACAGCCTCGTCGTACTCAAGCACAAGCGTAGTAGGAACGGGCGATTCCTTCGCATTTGAATCCAGGTACGACCTCACTGGGATGCCTCCGACGAAGTGCTCCACAGTCGCCAAGTGACCCGGCTTGCCATTCGCACGGCGGATCCCAGGCAACTTGAACACTTCCTTCAAAGTCGCAGCAATCGCAGGTCCGATCAAGCTGGCTCCAAAGCTGAGACCGCTGCCGAGAAGAGTGTACTCGCTCAAAGGGCGGTGGGGGTTGAGCTTCTCCGGCTCGGCGAAAGATGTCGGGTCTAAAGCCTCCTTGCTCGTGGCGATTAGGACAATGTTGCCCTTCTTGACATTTACTGGGCCGCGAACGCCGTCCTGGACTGTGATGTCTCTAGTGGCTTGACGAGGCAGCCCAGGCACAACGCCAGCATGTCGCATGCCCTCGAACACAAAGCCCTGGAGCTCTTTGAATGAAGCATCGTCGTTTTTGTGAGAGAGCTCAATAATGCGAGCCTTGTATGCTTCATAGCCTGGGCGGAGGTAGAGATCGATAAGGAGCGACGCTTGGTGGGTGAGGATGCCGGCGATCGGTGCCGCGACACCGATACAATCGCCAGCAAGCTTGTCGTTGGGCTCCTTGGTGGCAATGAGAGCTTTGTAGATGCGGTCTGCCTCAGGCTTCACCTCAAACGCAGAGCCCTTGGCCAGCCAGTCCACGATATGTTCCTTGAAGCCGGACTGGGTCGAGAGGTGGGCGCTGTGGACTTCAGTCAACAGCGCCGTGGCCTGGGTGGCACCAGCACGCAAAGTCCATTCGTGAGCGGGGATGATGTTGAAGTTCTGGTAGAGGAATATGGCCATGTATGCTTCGAAAAGCTGGGGTTGGGAGATCAGGCCGCGAGGTTGAGCAACTGTCTTGAGCGGGATAGCGAGTCGCTCGGCAAGCCATGTGATAGGTGTGACGTTAGTGATATCCCGTACGACATCGAATGAGCGCTTGCCGTTGGAATAGCGAAGCGAGCTAGCCTTGATGAGCTTGGACACCTCAGTCTCGAAGTACTTTCTGACGCTGGCGACGAAGCCGTCCTCAAAGAAGATCCTCTGGAGAGAAGCTGCCTTCTTCGGGTCACCAGAGCCAAGCATGAAGTTGTTGCCGTTGGCGATAGTCTGCGTGGCAGTTGGTTGAATAGATCGGAAAGAAGTAAGATCCTCGGACACTTGCTTGCAGCCTGCTGACGTCTGGACCGAGACGATGTCAAGGTCACTGCGAGGTCTCGTGGTATCGTACTGACCGATGGCCTTATGTTGCTTGACGATACCTTGAGCTGCCTCCGGCGTGTAGAACTGCAACAAAGCGTAAAGTGATGTTCCCGTCCACGCTCCTGGCAGGCCGTTCATGATCAGCTTAGGAAGCACACCACCATAAGCTCCTCCTGCGACAGATGTGCCAACCTTGCTCAATCCCCAGTTCGTCAAGGTATTGCTGTTGAAGTCGTAGCTGAGGAAGCGATCGCCTCGCACCAATGCCACAGCATCGTCCAAAATACCTCGACCGGTGGTCTGGCCAGGGCACACACCGCTGCCAGGCATAGGTGGCTTCGTGCATTCTGCCATGAGACCGGGATACAATTCAAGGTTATCGATATGTCCGTAGAGGAGCTCGGCAGCCCTCGCGACTTTCTTGTCTGGATTCCATTCCTCGAAACTCTCGTACGCCTTCAGGTTGAGATAGCTTCGGAATTCGTTCATCGTGCACACATTGAACAGCTCACGCGCCTGCAGCTGTCCCATGATATCGACCACCTTCAAGCTTGCAGGAGTGCCATGAGCACCAAAAGCGTGTGCGGGCTCCTCGATGCAGTCCTTGATCAGCTCTGCGAGTTCATGGTCGTTGAACCTTCCATCTGGAGCTCGCTTCAGGCCATTGAATGTCCACTCTCTTGGTAATGTGTCTCTGAGCTTGTGTCCTTCTTGATACATGACTTTGTAGAACATCTCCACAGTCATGTCGTCCACGGACTTAAGTTCGGGGAGGTTTGCTCTGAGAACGCCCTCCATCCATTGCGCGTCTGCAGCGCTGAGCGCAGCGTGCCAATGATAGAGGACTGCGAATTCGGTCGAAACGACGTTGCCAGTACCTCGCTCGATCCGCTGTCCACTCTTCTTGATCTCTTTCCCAAGGTCGAGTGACCAAGTCGAATCAGCTCGCGGGGTGTTCAGGATGGCAGCCACATAATCCTTCAGAACCACGCTGGCAAAAAATCCAACATTGATGTTTCTGCCGAGCTGGAACAAATCTTCATCTTGCCTGTATCGAGAACGTTCATGGTCAGCGTTTCATCTTGCTCTTGACGTTTGGTGCGAACGTTTGCTATCGCAACTTCCAAAGGGCCACGCGAAGGTATGTTGCTACAATTTCGGATGGTTCAAAATCACTTACCAGACTTTCTGCTCCTCGTTCAACTGGTCCCAAGGTTTGTATTTTCCGGCTTCGTTGATGGTAAGCAGTGATTCCACAATGCTGTTGTGGTTCCGCGAGAACATGACCAGAAGTGCAACCACACCCGGCGGCATAAGCATAATTCGTTCAGACGCCATGGAGTCATTCCATATCCTTCCTTGCTGGTATGTTCGCACCCTTTTCTGCTCGTTCTTGGTGTTGCCATACAGAGTGCTCAGATCGACATAACTGGATGTCTCGTTAATCCAAGGATCCTCGCGCGATGTCTGGAAGCACTCGTGAATAACAATCGTTGCAAAGGAGAAAAACAGCCGGTTCAGTCCAGATGGATGCTTTCTGAAGTTGCCATCCTCTCGCTTCATGAGCTGCTCGAAGACGAGCTCAGGGTCTGGCAGATTCGGTCCCTTTGGCTTACTGGGTGGGACACTTCTGCTGTATGGTGTGCCAGCCTTGCCCATCTCCGGATTCCATGGATTGTTGTTGCCTCCATCATGTCTCCGATACCGCGAAGTTGGGCCAGCCATGGTAGTCGGAGGGTGTGGCAAATCATGATAGAGCATCGTGATGAATGCATCGGAAGTTGCTGCGGAGAGGCCACTATTGAGCGGCAGACCTTGTAACATGGACACGCCATTCTCTAGTAGGAGTTCCTTGTCGTCCATCGGCTCCCCAGATGCCAAACCAGTGAGGCCTGAGGCAATGACTTTTTTGTCTTTCATGTCCTGTGGAGTGTTGAGATGAACGTCAGCCAAAGCCTTACTGGTCGGAGTGCATTTGTAGTCTTTGCTCTTACCAGGTGAATTAGGTCATGAATGGCCGAAGTCTTCCTCTGGCTAGGTGCCAGAGCTGCTTCTTGGTCATCTTTGCGATCTGGAGCTGTTGTAGGCTTCCGCTTGATCGTTCCGATCACTCTCGAAAGTTTCCCGGGCATGTCTGCGGCACTGCTCGCGAAGCCTGGATTTGAAGTGTACAATGGAAGAGGATTGCCAAGGAAAGAAATCGGCCTTTAAGAGGGGGTTGATGGGCGTTAAGGAATGATCGAGGAAAGGCTGATTGACGATGTCCGTGGTGCTCTGACCAGTCTGTCTTCGCTAGTCTCGTGAATGCGATGCCGATCCAGCACCCAAGTGCTCGGTGAAACATGGTGAGCCCCTCCATACCAATGCATGTTGGGTCGCCAGCTCACGCGTTGCAGAAGCTAGAGTGTAGTGTGGCGGGCACATGCGCCTCCCGAAGTGTAATCGGCGTGCTGAGATGCAGGTGGAGTAGTGTACGGGCGGTGTATGAACACATCGGAGTGAGTGTGTTGCACAATGTTCAAGGAAGCATCACCACCTGGACCCAATCATGGCATTTCTCATTGTGAGACTGCGTATCTCTTCAATCTCAGTGACAGCAACTGTCTCCGACCCTCAGGTGTTTCGTAACTTCGCGGAAAGGTGCAGTAATGCTGTGCTGTGGCTTTGGGCGTGAGGTCGCTGGTTGGTTGAAAAGGACGCTCGCTCGCACCATACTGCTTTAGGACAATCCAGCGGTGGCACCAGAGTAGTTACGATCATCGTCTATGATGGAGATCTTCTGCATAGGCGTACAGCGAATGGACATTGGGCGAAGTCAACTTGCTATCTCTCGCTACTTCCCCGAGCCCTAGCTGCCCGCCCGAGCCCTAGCAGATATACTAATAGAGAATCGCCCTAAATTAGGCTACGTGCTGTTTCCACCTGTTATATGTTATATCCGTTCTTAGTTAGTATTATTAATAGGCGCGGAGCGCGTTATATAAGAAGCCGCGTCTCTAACTTAAAGTCTACTATAATTCGTATTTCTTCCCCTATTTGTTATAGATTGCCTAGTAGCTACTAAAAAAAGCTAAATCTCTATTATATACGATATACGTCGACGAGTTTTTCGATAATCCTATCGCTAGTAGTAGTAATAGTATAGCAGTAGTAGCGGTAGTACTATAGTAGCTACCTCTATTTACGCGCTTCGTAGAATAGTCGTATTTATATATAGACTACTATATTATATAAGAGGAAAGTACGTAAATAACTATTTAGATTTAGCGGCGTCGTACCTCCTACTCTAGAGAGATAAATTAGGAATATAGTATTAAGTTAGTTATTTAGATAGTCGGTACTTTAAACCCTAATTCTAAGCTATTATGTATTATCTAAGCGTATTCTTTATCTAGAGGTCTACTATAGAGATAGGATAGTAGTAGTTAGGTCGTAGGAAGAGATAGAAATAGCGGTAGAAGGCGTACTCTTAGTAGCGGTAGCAGCGGTAGTAGTTAAGTTATAGGAAAAGATTTAGTTTATTTTAGAAATACGTATTTATAATAGAGACCTTAGTATTCGAGGTATCTACGAAGTCGCGAATAACTAGCTAAGCGTTTAAAAGGACGAGAGGTTTAAATATCCTAGAGAAGGTACTAAGGCTCGGTATAGGCCGAGCCGGGCTTTTATATACTTTTATATATAAAAGGTCGTCTACTAGTACCTATAATCTTACCCTCCCTTAAAGTAGTCGTATCCTTAAGACCTTCCTTTAATATAGAACTTAAAGACCGGTATTAGCTAGTAACTAGCCCTATACTCTTATTAGCTAGTAACCGGCCCTATACCCTTAGGCTAGCGTTATATATAATAAAGTATATAGTAACGGCTTAAGGGCTAGACGACTTAAATAAGACTATAGTAGCTAAGAAGTAGAAGATAGCCGTTACGAAAACTTCTTTTCCGATCGCGACGATCCTATCGATCCTAGCGATCGTAAGCGATCGCGAGCGATCGCGAGCGATCCTAAGCTATCCTAGAACGATAAATAGGTAACTTATAAAAGTTAGACTTTTGCCTAATACTATACTAAAAATAGAACATTTTTGTTATATATTACTAAGCCGTAAACCTTCTAGATAAAAAGATATAAAGGAAAGAAAATCGCTTTTCTAGACATTTTGCTTCTAATTTATCTTTTTTTCTAGTAGGGTTATAGCTTAGTAATATATTAAAAAGATACTCTATTTTTAGTATATTATTATAAAAAAATATAAAATTTATAGATTTTCTACGAAATTAAAGCTAGGGAACAGAAATAAGCAATATAGTATTTTGGCTTTTCTAAGTTATACTTTACTATTTTTAGAAATCTAAAAAACAGAACTTAAAGTTCTACCTACTAATAAGAGTATTATAAATTTTCAAGTCTTAATACCTAGTAGTTATCTTAGAATCTAGAAAAGAATCTCGAGTGTTTCGAGTATACTTTTTTTCAAAGTTCTACTTATTAAGCGTCGGCTTTTAAAAGAAACCTTAACGAAATATCGGCTGTATTTAACGAAACCTTAACGAAAAAAATTTCTTTATAAAAAAAACCTACGAAACCGCTAAATTTAACCTATACGTTATCCCCCGAAATACCTCGTAGTAGTATACGGAGTAGTAGTAGTAGTCGGGCTTAGCTAAGTCGGGCTCTAACTTGTCCCGCGTCCTTTACGTTCCTTAGCCTCGAATTTCGGGACGGCCCGTCCCGAAATTTCGATCGCGAGGATCCTATCGATAGGATCGCGATCCCGCGATTCCGAGCGATCCTATCCGATAAGATCTTTAACGTACGATCCCGAGGATCCTAAGCGATCCTAAGCGATCCTATCGATAGGATCGTCGCGATCGGAAAAAAAGTTTTCGTAACGGTAATAGTAAGAACCGTAGACTTTATATTATAGTTCGAAACGTAGTTTTAAAGTGTGTTAATTTATGTTATATCTATCTAGCTACGGAGGAAGTATACCTATAAGGCGGCTAGTAGCAGCCGCCTAGGTGTCCCTTCCCTCCTAGCTTCGTAATAAAATCCCCCGGTCGCGAAATGTCCGCGACTACGTAGACTATACCTGTAATAGACTTACAATGCTGTCGTATTCTCGTATAGGTGTGCTAACTATACTTAATAGACTAACCGTCGTCTACTATAGAGTCTCTGTCTAGGTTTTAATAACTTGCGCGTTGCGCGTCGCCTACTCGGCTATAATCGAGTAGTTTTAGGTTACTAATTCTAAGCCTTTAGCCGCTGCCTAGCGCTCTAGGAATCTAATAGCATTCTTCCTATATATAACGTATAGGGCGTTAAAGGCGGTAGCGATGAATGTGCCGACACGGGCGCGGTCTTCCTCTTTTCCTAACTAGATTAATCTAGCGAGCTCGGCTATAATGTCCGTAAGGGAGTCGTAGGTAAGTCTAGTAGCCTAGTCCTATAGCAATTCCTATATCGCCCGAATCGCGGCTTTCTCGGAATTGGCTTTAGTATTAGAGCGTTAGATCGCGTCTATCGCCTATAGTAGACGAAGGGTAGACTGTTCTACGTCTTCCTTAACCGTACCGTCCGTGTTCTAGAAATAGGAGAGTTCTAGCACGTAGTTAATAACGTCCTCCGTATCGGTAAGCTTTCCGTTCTATTCTTCTAAATTCTCGTTATCCTAGTCGATATTGTCTTTAGTATAGGCTATAATGTCGTCGCGAATTTCCTCGGGAAGAACGTTATAGGCTTAGAGGAATTTCTTTGCGATAGACATAGCGTAGTCGTATAAGGCTCTCTTGTCTTCTAACAACTACTCGCGAGACTCCCTATCCTTAACGTAATTCCATTCCTTTATTACCGCTGCGACTATATAGGCGAGGACTCCTACGAACATTTGCAACTCTTCCGGCTCGCTTCCTAGCTACTATTTCCTAGTAAGCTCTGCTAGGGCGATCTAGACGAATAAGCTGCTCTAGCCTTTATCGCGAAGGATATCGATAGGGAGTTAGGATTTGCTCTTGTCTATATTAGCGATAGATATAGGGTTAGTAGCAATAGCGATGTCGTTATCGGCGGCGCCGGAGGTAGCGGCGGTAGCTATAGGGTTAGCGACTATAGCAGCGCTAGGGGTACTAGCCGTAGAGATAACGACTATAGTAGCGCTAGGGGTGCCCGCTTTGCCTCCGTCTAAGCTGTCTAGTCCTGCTAAGATTCTTATACTCGCTATCTTACGGGGGTCGGATTGAGGTATAGCGGGCATCTCCTTAGTAGACATAACATAGCCGCGCCTATTAGGGACGCCTATCTAACCGGCGTTGTCCTTAAGTTCCCTACTTAGGAAGCGGATTAACTACTTAGCTTGCTTATCGTGCTTGTAGTATCCGACGTAAAGGATTTTTCTAGTCTTGTCGTTAATACGTAGGAGAATAACTGCCTATATCTAGTGCCGCAACACCGCCGCCTTTAGCAGTATAGGAACTGCCGCTATTAGGAAATCGTCTATCGGGGCTAGGAGGTTAGTCTAACCGCCTTCGACTGCTTCCTTAATCTGTTATAGGGAATAGCTAAGCATATATACCGACTAGTCGCCGAAAATCTTTATATCTACGGCTTTCTCGGATGCGGGAATATCCCGAAGATATTCCTCCTAGGGAAAGACTTCGTCGTTCTTTAATCCCGCTATAAACGATCGTGTCTTCTTAGCTAGCTCCGTAGTATCGAAGTAGGCGTTAAAGTAGTTATAGTTGAACTTCCTCGCTATCTCCGCGATATAGTTTAGATACTATTACTACTCTTAGTTAGGGAATATTGCGATAATTACGTATCCTACCTCTATTATAAGTTCCGTTATACTCGCTACGCGACGAACGAAATCTATTTCCTAGGTCTTAGATAGACGTAGACCGTCGCCGTAGAGGGTTCGGCCGCTATAAGCCTTACGTAAAACGTCGAACAGGCGTATAAATCTATAGCGCCCGAATAGAAGCCGGAACGTTAGGTCTATAAAGAGGCCCCTTAGAGCAATACCGCTATCTCTTAGCGTAGGCAGGTCGCGCGCGTCGATCGGAGGATCCGCGGTACTTGTCTTAGCCTTCCTAGCTAATTTTCGCTTACTAGAGGCTTTGCTAGCACCTA